TTATTCGTCGGTCGGTACCCCCCTTTCTTAGGTCCGTTAGGTAACATCCTAAAAAATACTGGGTAATTGAAGCGCTATCTTAAGGTAGGGCAGCTTTTATTTTATAAAGCAGATGTTTGTTTGTCTAAAGACCGAGAGTGTCTGGACATTGAAGAACACGAAAAGTTCTCCCTGAGGAGTTACAGGAGGTGAACAATTTGACATAATTACTCGGTGGACAAACTTGAACAATTAAGTCGATATTTCGTGGACAGGTGATTGTGAGTTTGTCAGTGTCGAGGCTTGACGGTGTTACGCGGTTCTGGTTTTCTCGACGGGTTTCCTGTGGTCTTTGTTTAACATCTGCGACCGTGGTCCGGCACACCCTTCTCGCACTTAGACGTTATCGCATTCGTCCGAACCATCGACTTCTTGAGTTGACACGCGCTCGTAATAGATCTTTTACCTTCTGTACTGTTCGGTGGTGACTATCTTAGAGGGCAGTCTAGACGCCCGGAGGTGCGTTCTAAGAGTGGGGCACCCAGTTTAGCGTAGTGCGCTTCTCTGCCACTTCGTTTCTAGGTCTTGGGTGCGTGCCGCTGTATCAGTTACTGGACGTCCTCGTCGACCCCTGGTTCATTGTTTACGAGGTAGTCATGGTGCATGCGGCCGTCCCCTGAGTTAGGACAACACCGGTCCGCACAGCGGGGGGGCAGACTTCATAACGATGCTCTCGGGTGAATATCTACTACAGACAATACAATCCAACCCCTTACGAGTCGGTATTTGCGTTTATATTGGAAAACCATTTTTTGAGTGACTACACAAACCCTCCTCTTCTTACGGACTCAACGGTAGGTTCCTTGTGGGGGGTATGGATGAACACCTTTGCTACCGAAGCCACCTTTGTAGTACGAAAAACCCCCGGAAAAAAGAACTAGCACATTTCCTTTCTTACTCCAGTCTTATCTCTTATCCCCGGTACATACACTCTAAAACTCACTGTTGGAGGAAGGTAGTCGGCCGTAACTTCTACTTTCGGCACCGACCCAAAAGTCGTACTTGTTACGTAGGGTTTGTGTGCGGGCCCGTTGCTCCTCCCCGAAGCATTCTTCGTAAGATGGTTTCCATGACCCACCCGTGATCGGTCAGAGGTCTAGAGTTGGGTATCCTTTTAGAAACCTCCCCAACCTTTCCAGGTACAAACGGGTTTTCTCTGTCGGGTTTGTAGTGACGCCTCATACACTCTCTCTTCAGACGTACCATGATCCTTGGTGTATGTGTCTGTTGTCTAGCTGTTTCAGACTCTACATACATGAGCCTAACGTAGCATCATCTCCACGACATACCGTATTAGATCTTGACGTGACGTAGACCACCGACTGGTGTACCTAGGATGAAAATTACAGGCCTCTCTCATCTTTTTAAGTGGGAGAACTTGCACAATTGGTGGCTGACTAAATACTTTTTTGCCCCACTGTACCTTCAAATTTGAACTTCAGTACAATCCTTGAGTAAATGTACTTTGTTAATATCGAGCACTGAGTTCAAGCCTTCTGTAAAGTTAGGCGCTGCTCATGGCTTCTTTAGTTTCAACCAGTTAGTCGTTTGTTAAAAGTGACTTCTGTCAAAACATCTGTGGTGCATTAAAATTATCATTCACCATTCTTTTTTCAAATTCAGACCAATTAAATGGAAAAAATTGAATTAAGATATTGTAAAAAACATAAACGTATGAGAAAAGACTACTATATCCTTGTCAAACAGACCTCCTGGTGCCAACCCATTAAACTTGATTTTGACTACACTATCAATGCAGCATGAAACGAGCTCTGATAAGCAGAGGCAGAAGAGAATGAGGGTCATTAGGAGGGCTGAAGAGAACAAGGACCAGAACAAGAGGCTGGGTAATCAAGGTTCCTATGTAACAGCCTGAAGGACAATTGGTCAATGAACTGAGGGTGACTCAGAGGTCAGGGTATAGACATATGGATACTATATAGCTAATTTAATCAAGGAAAAGAGCATATGGGAAGTTAATAATTAAATTAAGTTTTTTCCACAGTGTGCTACACTATACAGATGTCATTGGCGGTCAAGTAACTGACTAAGCAAAGCAAAGAGGAATTCCTGGACTTTACGTATTTGAATCTTGAAAGTGTCCATATAGCTTTTCGTCTGAATGCAAAAGTAGGTTTTTTTTTGTTCCAAAGAATACAAGAGCATATTTGGCAGCCTAATGGAAAAAGTGCTGCACCCAGCATATTTTTTCAGAATTCTCCAAACTTTTGTATGAAGCTGCTCCGAGCACTAGTAGTTGACAATCACTCAACTTTATATTAAAAAAAAAAAGGCCTGGTGACATCACGGTCACTTCTTCCGAGGCAATCCTATGGTTGGTTCTCATGGTGAAAATACAATGTCACAAAAGACATCGAAACACAAAAGTGATGCTACTCTATCATTCAACAGCGTTTAGAGTAGTGATATGATAGAAACAAAAACCCACACAAGGCAGGAATGCTTTTTCCTCTTTGCATTGTGTTTAAGGTATGGTCCGAATCTGCAATTAGAAACAAGGAAATCTTTGGTTCATTGCTTATGTTCACTGTAACGAAGTGGTGCAGCAATGAGTCCTAAAATCCGATGTGAGTTTGCATTTTAGCACTTCCAGTTTGGATTGTCTTGAAGTGATTGAAAGTATTTTGGTTAACCACAGAACTTATTTTAGGTGGCTAACACAAGCTAAAAAAGGGTCTTAAAGTTTTGTTCTACAACTTAAAATATGTCATTAAATAAACCAAACGGAAGCTACTATGTGTCATAAGAACTGTGGTTGCTAACAAGTGGCTAAAATAAAGCCCCGGCCAGCGGCCACACGGGGACGGCAACGGTCTTATCTGCTCCAGTTCACTATTAGATAGACGGTTTGGCCACACGAGGCCGACATGGAAACGCATAAAACAATAACGGGTCCCAAGGTGGGTAGATCTGCAAACGAAACGCTCTGGGGGGGGCAAACGGCTCCGTGTTTACGCCTATACGATCATTTCCTGATAACGTTGAAGCAATAGCCCTGCCTCTCCCCCACCTCTCCTGCTCAGAGATCAGCTGCTGGGCTGTCAGGAGAGGGAGAGGGAAAGAGAGGCTCCGTTTCTTATATATTATATAGAGTCGTTATTCATTTGTTTTAAAAAGCTCAATAAATAACAAAGACCTCTGACCGGCACTTTTCAAATTTTGTCCGGAAGATTTCAACTTTAACGGACATGTTGACCGGCGAAAAAAAATCCAAATGAAACTCTGCCGCACGGTCCCCTCGTCCCTTGGAAGAGGCGGAGAGATGGGTGTTTTTAATCTGCTGGTGGACTACCGGAGAGATTTACAGCAGGAGCAAACGCTTGCCTCGGGGAGGGAGAAAAAGAGCCAGAGCGTCCACAGCGGAGAATAAACAGAAGGGCAACCATGAAAACCATGCGCGGGAAGTCTTCTACGCTGCTTTTGTGGCAGGACTAGAGCGCCACTTACAGGCCCGGCATATGTACTACAGCGTCTCCAGCGCTTTCGAGCGGTCTCGTGTGAACGGACGTTTCTGGTGCCTGTTGCGTGTGGACGGAAGACTTTTTTGATAAAGATTGCGGTCCGTTACCATCCTCGTGTGGCCGGGGTTTAAGGCTACTAAACGTCATCACGCCAATAATTAGCCGCCATTAGCTTAGCAGTGGCTATGTGAAGCAATGGAACTGAATGTAGCTTGTTATTAGCTTGTTCCTTCTTTTGGTTGCATTTACGCTTCAAGAATCTGAAAGTGATGCTAACATGTGGGGATTATCCTGCTGAACAAAACGAGTAAGTAGAATATAAACGTGTCACAGAGCTTTTATTCTTTGCAACATTCCAAAATCCCATTGCCGTTTGTCGAGGGAGCCCGTTGTGATGCTGGCTTCCAGGTCGGAATACATCATCCCTGCAGCCCCTCTATACCCATGACATGTCATATTGCATTGTAATGTGTTGGCTCCTCATATATTGAAGTGTTTGGAGTAATAGCTAATCTACATGTTTTTCTAAGAAGTCTTTCTTTGGGATAAAAGAGGATCTTTGCAGCAGTCATTTATGGGTAATCATGGGTTAACTTTCAGGACCTACTTCCTGTAGGTGCAGTGGATAGTGGTTGCCTGGTCTCGGCCTCACTCGGGGCTACGGCCTCCAGCAGGGAGGGCCCAGTCACTCTGAAGTTGAAGTTTCCTTTAATAACAATAGCAATACATATACATTGCTAGAGTGGAGGAAAGAATATAACACTCCAAATCAAAAAGGCCCAGACTGGCCACGGGACTATACTGTAGGGTTCCTTTACATTACCATGGCAACTTACTGACTGGGGGTTCTATAGCAGCAGATATACACTTCTTGTGGTTAGCTGCTCTTCAAAGGACAGTTCTGCCCATTTCTAATCAGTCCAATCTTTTCAGATTTGTTTCCACTGTATTAGTTGGTTATAACAAAAACTAAGTCTGTTGTCTGTCGCAAGTTGGCTCCTTCCATTTGGAACCCTATCCCTGCAGTTGACTTGTTGAATAATTCTTGTATGCATGTCTACAATATTGATGTGTAAGTATGTCACATTGGAGAAAAGTGTCAGTTTAATAATATGTAATGTAATAGGGACAGGTACATGTAAAAAAAAGAAAAAAAAAGAAACACCAGCCAGGAACTGTACCAACACATACTGAGATTCATGTCAAATTAATCAGATTTCATTGATATTTCTGTATAACTCAGTGTGTGAATTGTAAAGATATGTTACCTATCAATACCATGCTGCTTCAAAACCTTTGCATCGCTTATCAAGGAAATCAGCAGATCTTCTCAAACGGAAATCACTGGCGTTTAAAAGGAGAGTTAAGCAGAAAAGGATTAACCCGAAGGAAACTGAGGCCTAAAACCAAGCTGCTAAAAGTACTTTACTTCGGGGGGACATTAATATATGAACAGTATAGTATTCGAGTGTGTGTGCTTCAGACCAAGACAAAACCTACAAAGCTGCCAGAGAGTAGAGGGCAACAGCCATTGGAAACCAATGAAGTCAAAACAGAAGCACTGAGTGTTTACTATGCAATCCCACAAAATGTAGGCATCATGTGATCATGACATGTCAGGCTACATCACTGTGATATTTCACGGCATCAACGCCCATCAATGTTCCAGAACAGCATCATTTTGATCATATTTGAGACAAGCATGACTTCTGTTATGTTCCTGCAGTGTGTTCTTTGGATGTCAAATGTCTTCACACAGCAGAGAGCTGGACTAACTCCAAGTCATAATATGTTGGATAAAACGCACATTACAGTACATGTCTGAGCCATATGCTATTACAAATGAACCAATTGAGTTAACTTGATGTATATGCTTAATAGAGAAACAGGGCCCAGGAAAAAAATGGGAAGAACTGTTTTGAAAGGCAGAGTGAGGCGGGTTTTAATCAAATAAGCGGAACCTTCTTCTTACTGGACCTGAAATCTACAGACAGAACAATACTGGCTTTTGCTTCATGTTATACAAGTATTACTGTACATCAGCTTTATATAAATCCATCGGTAGCATAAACCAACCATTCACACCAAGGACAAGGACAGCTCGAGTACATACACACAAGACAGGGACTGATATTACATGTGGGTCTGGAGGGGAAAAAAGAGAAATAGCCAGCAATACCCTAAACTCTAGCACAGGCTAGTTAGATTAGCGGCCATCCTGCTGGCTAACATCCGTGTTCATATTTGCAGGAAGTCTTTGCAATAGTGTCACTCTTGCTTAAGCTGCATCTATTACCACAAGAGGCATACCTGCTATTCTGTATAATGGTGTGTGTATTGCATGTGCGCACCTACCTGTATACTGTGTGTGTGCATTCAAACAAATACAAGCCAGAGTGAAAAACTGAACTTCCCCCTGGGGGGGATTAATAAAGGTTAATCTTCTTCTTCTTCTACCCGAGTGTTGCTGAATTTAACTGCTAGTGTTAATTGAGTTAGTTAGTAAGTTACCCCAAAGAAATAAGGAACACATGAAGTAGAGATATTCTTCTGGTTTATTTTGACATCTAGCTATGATTTGTCTCAATTCAGATACTTCCCTTAGTAAACTGCATTGCACACCCTGTTAACACTTTCATAGTGTGTACATTTCCACCATGTAGGGTTTTCCTAAATTGCACACAGCTGCTTTGCACTCACAGCAAGTGGCTGTCACCGACATTAACTAGCTAGCTACTTTGCCAACAACGTTAAAGTTGCAAAAGCAAATCTTTACAGACTTCTAAATGAATCCAATGTAACGAACAACGGCCTCTTCCCGAAGATAGCATACTGGTACGTTTATCAAATATAGAAAAGAAACCCAAATACATAACTTGTATTTGCATAGTACTGTGTTCACTGGTCCTATCCTCTTTTTTCCAAGCTTTTTTATGTTCCCTTTATAAATTAAACTAAATTAAGCGTATCAATTTGCCCATTGATACACGTTGTCTGTTTAATTGATGTATTATGTTTTGAACAAGAATTGTTGCTAGAACATTTTGTATGTATGTTAACTTCTTTACAGTGTGGCTGCTGTTGCCAAGGAGAGGTTACCTATACATCTTGAGATGAATAATCATAATTGGTGTTAGGCCAAAGACACACAGACATTCAGTCAAAGCAGATGGGTGCCAGCGATGTTCCAGGAAACGGGACAACAAGGGGATACACACTTACCGACTCCCAACAACACACTCCAGAATGACTTCAGATATTGATATATTACCTGGCAGAGCAAAGATGAGTTTCCGTGCTCCGTCAATGTCCGCTGTGGCAAAGGTAGTAGGAAGACTGAGGAACAGAAACCCACGGGTCATTACTTTCCCTCTATGTCATCATATTATCATTGGCAGTGGTATAATTAGCTACAATCACCAGGTATAAAGTCTGGAGCCGCTTCATAGACAATAGGACAAGAACAACTTTTTCAAATGAGCAAAGACACTCGTTTGTCTACATTACCGAAGAGACTGAAGTTGTCCCAAGGAAAAAAGAAAATGTGATTGTGATGCAGTTGACTTAATTTCAACGCTCCCTTTTACCTGATAATGCTACATTATGGACAACAAATCAATGTTGAAATTGGAAGGAGTTTAAAAGGTTTATATTAGCCTGCTAGCTCTCTGCTAGCTTTTAACATCCTGATGTGTTCCATATTAGCTCAGCTCAAATGAGAACAGGGTAAAGGTCAATTACAAGTTTTTTAAGATGTGTTCAAAATAACTTGAATAAATACATTTGTTTCGAGGAAATATTTTAGGACCACTCTCAAAACAGATATTTGATAGGAAATAATGACCCTTTAAACCAGGGGTACTCAAACTTTTTTGTTAAAGGTCCACTTGTGAATCTTATACAAGGTCAACGGTCCGGATCAATGCCAGTAAAGTCCCCCC